AGTCTCATGTCTAGCTATCTCAGTCTGTTCATCTGTCTTTTTGTCTAGCTATCTCAGTCCATTCATATCTGTCACTCTGTCTAGCTTTCTCTCTGTACATTCATATCTGTCTCTCTGGCTAGCTATCTCAGCCTGTTCATGTCTGTCTCTCTGGCTAGCTATCTCAGCCTGTTCATATCAGTCTCTATGTCTAGCTATCTCAGTCTGTTCATCTGTCTTTTGTCTAGCTATCTCAGTCCATTCATATCTGTCACTTCATATCTGTCTAGCTTTCTCTCTGTACATTCATATCTGTCTCTCTGGCTAGCTATCTCAGCCTGTTCATGTCTGTCTCTCTGGCTAGCTATCTCAGCCTGTTCATATCTGTCTCTATGTCTAGCTATCTCAGTCTGTTCATCTGTCTTTTTGTCTAGCTATCTCAGTCCATTCATATCTGTCACTCTGTCTAGCTTTGTTCTCTCTCTATGTCATTCATATCTGTCTCTTTTTGTCTAGCTATCTCAGCCTGTTAGCTTTCTCTGTCATTCATCTGTCTCTGGCTAGCTATCTCAGCCTGTTCATGTCTGTCCTCTGGCTAGCTCTCTCAGCCTGTTCATATCAGTCTCTGTCTCAGTCTGTTCATCTCTCTTTTGTCTAGCTATCTCAGTCCATTCATATCTGTCCTCTGTCTAGCTTTCTCTCTGTACATTCATATCTGTCTCTCTGGCTTCTCAGCCTGTTCATGTCTGTCTCTCTGGCTAGCTATCTCATGTTCATATCAGTCTCTATGTCAGCTATCTCAGTCTGTTCATCTCTCTTTTTTGTCTAGCTATCTCAGTCCATTCATATCTGTCACATTTCTCTCTGTACATTCATATCTGTCTCTCTGGCTAGCTATCTCAGCCTGTTCATGTCTGTCTCTCTGGCTAGCTATCTCAGCCTGTTCATATCAGTCTCTATGTCTAGCTATCTCAGTCTGTTCATCTGTCTTTTTGTCTAGCTATCTCAGTCCATTTCATTATCTGTCACTCTGTCTGTCTCTCTGTAGCTTTCTCTCTCTGTTCATTCATATCTGTCTCTCTGGTCTAGCATCTCTATGTCTATCTCTGTCTGTCTCTATCTATTAGCTATCTCAGCCTGTTCATATCAGTCTGTCTCTCTAGCTATCTCAGTCTGTTCATCTCTCTATTTGTCTCTGTCTCAGTCCATTCATCTGTCTCCTGTTCTAAGGTACATTCATATCTGTCTATCTATCTAGCTATCTCAGCCTGTTCATGTCTGTTCTGGCTTATCTCAGCCTGTTCTATCAGTCTCTATGTCTAGCTATCTCAGTCTGTTCATCTCTCTTTTTGTCTATCTATCTCAGTCCATTCATATCTGTCACTCTGTCTAGCTTTTCTCTCTGTACATTCATATCTGTCTCTCTGGCTAGCTATCTCAGCCTATTCATGTCTGTCTCTCTGTTCATAGCTATCTCAGCCTGTTCTATCAGTCTCTATGTCTATCTATCTCAGTCTGTTCATCTGTCTTTTGTCTAGCTATCTCAGTCCATTCATATCTGTCACTCTGTCTAGCTTTCTCTCTGTACATTCATATCTGTCTCTCTGGCTAGCTATCTCAGCCTGTTCATGTCTGTCTCTCTGGCTAGCTATCTCAGCCTGTTCATATCAGTCTCTATGTCTAGCTATCTCAGTCTGTTCATCTCTCTTTTGTCTAGCTATCTCAGTCCATTCATATCTGTCACTCTGTCTAGCTTTCTCTCTGTACATTCATATCTGTCTCTCTGGCTAGCTATCTCAGCCTGTTCATGTCTGTCTCTCTTATTATCTCTAGCTCTCTATCTATCTCAGCTGTTCATCTGTTTTTGTCATATCTCAGTCCATTCATATGTCTCTCTTTCTCTCTGTACATTCTGTTCTCTCTGCTATCTTTTGTCTGTCTCTAGCTATCTCAGTCCATTCATATGTCTGCTCACAGTCTGTTCATCTCTTTTTTGTCTGTCTGTCCATTCATATCTGTCATCTGGCTAGCTATCTCAGCCTGTCCATGTCTGTCTCTCTCTGGCTAGCTATCTCAGCCTGTTCATGTCTCTGTTCATATATCTCATCTGTTCATCTCTCTTTTGTCTAGCTATCTCAGTCCATTCATATCTGTCACTCTGTCTAGCTTTCTCTCTACATTCATATCTGTCTCTCTGGCTAGCTATCTCAGCCTGTTCATGTCAACTCTCTGGCTAGCTATCTCAGCCTGTTCATCAAAATGTTCAGCTATCTCAGTCTGTTCATCTGTCTTTTGTCTAGCTATCTCAGTCCATTCATATCTGTCACTCTGTTCAGCTTTCTCTGTACATTCAAACTGGCTAGCTTCCTGAATGTCTGTACTATCTTCATATCTCTAAGTCTCTCAGTCTGTTCTAGCTATCCATTCAGTCCTGTTCTTTCTGTCTTCATATCTCTCTGGCTAGCTATCTCAGCCTGTTCATATCAGTCTCTATGTCTAGCTATCTCAGTCTGTTCATCATCTTGTTTGTCTAGCTATCTCAGTCCATTCATATCTGTCACTCTGTCTAGCTTTCTCTCTCTGTACATTCATATCTGTCTGTCTCTCTAGCTATCTCAGTCTGTTCATGTCTGTCTCTCTCTCCATTCATATCTGTCCTCTGTCTAGCTCTCTAGCCTGTCTCTCTATCTATCTCAGTCTGTTCATCTGTCTTTTTGTCTAGCTATCTCAGTCCATTCATATCTGTCATTGTCTAGCTTTCTCTCTGTACATTCATATCTGTCTCTCTGGCTAGCTATCTCAGCCTGTTCATGTCTGTCTATGGCTAGCTATCTCAGCCTGTCATATGTCTAGCTATCTCAGTCTGTTCTCTGTCTTTTTTTGTCTAGCTATCTCAGTCCATTCATTCAAGGAGGTCTATTTCTCTCTGTACATTCATATCTGTCTCTCTGGCTAGCTATCTCAGCCTGTTCATGTCTGTCTCTCTGGCTAGCTATCTATGTTCATATCAGTCTCTATGTCTAGCTATCTCAGTCTGTTCATCTCTCTTTTTGTCTAGCTATCTCAGTCCATTCATATCTGTCACTCTGTCTCTTTCTCTCTGTAAATTCATATCTGTCTCTCTGGCTAGCTATCTCAGCCTGTTCATGTCTGTCTCTCTGGGAAGCTATCTCAGCCTGTTCATATCTAGCTAGCTATCTCAGTCTGTTCATCTGTCTTTTGTCTAGCTATCTCAGTCCATTCATATCTGTCACTCTGTCAGCCTTCTCTCTGTACATTCATATCTGTCTCTCTGGCTAGCTATCTCAGCCTGTTCATGTCTGTCTCTCTGGCTAGCTATCTCAGCCTGTTCATATCAGCTATGTCTAAATCTCAGTCTGTTCATCTCTCTTTTGTTGTCTATCTCACAAAAATTCTGTCACCATTCTATCTCTCTGTATCTGGCTAGCTATCTCAGCCTGTTCATGTCTGTTGTATCTAGCCTATTCATATCTCTATGTCTAGCCATCTCTATCTCAGTCCATTCATATTCACTCTGTCTGTCATTCATATTTTCTGGCTAGCTATCTCAGACTGTTCTGTCTGTCTCTGGCTAGCTCTCTGTTCATTCAGTCTCTATGTCTATCTCAGTCTGTTCATCTGTCTCTATCTCAGTCCATTCCATATCTGTCTATCTTTCTCTGTAAAGCATTCATATCTGTCTCTCTGGCTAGCTATCTCAGCCTGTTCATGTCTGTCTCTCTGGCTAGCTATCTCAGCCTGTTCATCTCATCTCTATGTCTAGCTATCTCAGTCTGTTCATCTGTCTTTTTGTCTAGCTATCTCAGTCCATTCATATCTGTCACTCTGTCTAGCTTTCTCTCTGTACATTCATATCTGTCTCTCTGGCTAGCTATCTCAGCCTGTTCATGTCTGTCTCTCTGCCTAGCTATCTCAGCCTGTTCATATCAGTCTCTATGTTCTAGCTATCTCAGTCTGTTCATCTCTTTTTGTCTAGCTATCTCAGTCCATCTATATCTGTCTCTCTGTCTAGCTATCTCTCTGTTCATACATCTCATATCTGTCTCTCTTTTGTCTAGCTATCTCAGACTGTTCATGTCATGTATCTGTCTCTGGCTAGCTATCTCAGCCTGTTCATATCAGTCTCTATGTCTAGCTATCTCAGTCTGTTCATCTCTCTTTTTTTTATCTAGCTGTTCATCTCAGTCCATTCATCCATCTGTCACCTGTCTAGCTGTCTCTCTGTACATTCATCTCTGTCTCTATCTCAGCTATCTATCTCAGCCTGTTCATGTCTGTCTCCATCTGGCTAGCTATCTCAGCCTCTGTTCATATCAGTCTCTCAGCCTGTTCATGTTCAGCTATCTCAGTCTGTTCATCTCTCTTTTTGTCTAGCTATCTCAGTCCATTCATATCTGTCTGTCACTCTGTCTATTCTTTCTCTCTGGCTATCTAGCTGTCTGTCTCTCTGGCTAGCTATCTCAGCCTGTTCATGTCTGTCTCTCTGGTCTAGCTATCTCAGCCTGTTCATATCAGTCTTTGTGTCTAGCTATCTCAGTCTGTTCATCTCTCTTTTGTCTATCATATCAGTCTCTATGTTCTCAGTCCTCATTCATATCTGTCACTGTCTAGCTCTGTCTCTCTGGCTATTATCTCAGCCTGTTCATATGTCTCTCTGTTCATATCAGTCTCTATGTTCAGCTATCTCCCATCTGTTCATCTGTCTTTTGTCTAGCTATCTCAGTCCATTCATATCTGTCACTCTGTCTATTCTCTCTGTACATTCATATCTCTCTCTGGCTAGCTATCTCAGCCTGTTCATTTCTGTCTCTCTGGCTAGCTATCTCAGCCTGTTCATATCAGTCTCTATGTCTAGCTATCTCAGTCTGTTCATCTGTTTTTGTCTAGCTATCTCAGTCCATTCATATCTGTCTATCTGTCTAGTCTGTACATCTATCTGTCTGTCTGGCTATTCTCAGCCTGTTCATCTGTCTCTCTCTCAGCCTGTTCTATCAGTCTGTATGTCTTCCTATATTGTTCATATCTGTCTCTATCTCTCTATCTATCTATCTCAGCCTGTTCTCTATCTCTCAGTCTGTTCATTATGTATCTCAGCTATCTCAGTCTGTTCATCTATCTTTGTTCTTGTTCAGCTATCTCAGTCCATTCATATCTGTCAGTCTGTTCATTTCTCTGTACATGTCCCTCTCTGGCTAGCTATCTCAGCTGTCTCATATCTGTCTCTCTGGCTAGCTATCTCAGCTGTCTCTCTCTATGTCTATATCTCTGTTCTATCTATCTCAGTCCTGTTCATATCTGTCTCTCTGTCTCTCAGTCTATTCATCTATCTATCTAGCTGTCTCATATTTCATTTTATCTATCTCTCTCCATCTGGTCTAGCTATTCTATCTCAGCCTGTCTGTCTCTCTGGCTCTATCTCAGCCTGTTCATATCAGTCTCTATGTCTATCTCAGCCATCTCAGTCTAGCTATCTCATCTTCATCTCTGTCACTCTGTCTACCTATTCTATCTCAGTCCTTTCTCAGCTGTTCTGCCTGTCTCTCTGGCTAGCTATCTCAGCCTGTTCATATCTGTCTCTATGTCTAGCTTCTCAGTCTGTTCATCTCTCTAGCTATCTCAGTCCATTCTCTACTCTGTCTATCTTTCTCTGTTCATATCTGCTGTCTCTGTCTATCTCATGTCTGTCTCTAGCTATCTCAGCCTGTTCATATCAGTCTCTATGTCTAGCTATCTCAGTCTGTTCATCTCTCTTTTGTCTAGCTATCTCAGTCCATTCATATCTGTCACTCTGTCTAGCTTTCTCTCTGTACATTCATATCTGTCTCTCTGGCTAGCTATCTCAGACTGTTCATGTCTATCTCTCTGGCTAGCTATCTCAGCCTGTTCATATCTATCTCTCTGTCTAGCTATCTCAGTCTGTTCATCTGTCTTTTTGTCTAGCTATCTCAGTCCATTCATATCTGTCACTCTGTCACTCTGTCTATTCTTTCTCTCTGTACATGTTCATAGTCTCTCTATCTATCTCAGTCTATTCTATCTCTCTTTGTCTTATCATGTCTCTCTCTGTTCTACATTCATATCTCTAGCTCTCTCTGTTGTTCATGTCTGTCTCTCTATCTAGCTATCTCAGCCTGTTCATATCAGTCTCTATCTAGCTATCTCAGTCTGTTCATCTCTCTTTTGTCTAGCTATCTCAGTCCATTCATATCTGTCACTCTGTCTAGCTTTCTCTCTGTACATTCATATCCTCTGTCTCTCTCAGCTATCTCAGCCTGTTCATGTCTGTCTCTCTGGCTAGCTATCTCAGCCTGTTCTATCAGTCTCTATGTCTAGCTATCTCAGTCTGTTCATCTGTCTTTTTGTCTAGCTATCTCAGTCCATTCATATCTGTCTATCTGTCTAGCTTTCTCTCTGTACATTCATATCTGTCTATCTAGCTATCAGCCTGTTCTGTCTGTCTCTCTCTGTTCATGTTCTCAGTCTCTATGTCTCTATCTAGTCTATCTCAGCCTGTTCAGTCCATTCTATCTGTCCTCTGTCTAGTCTGTTCATCTCTGCTCTGCCTGTTCATATATCTCTATCCATTCATCTCTGTTCCTGTTCATAGCTATCTCAGTCCATCTATCTGTCATCTGTCTATTCAGTCTATCTGTCTGGCTAGCTATCTCAGCCTGTTCATGTCTGTGTTAGCTATCTCAGCCTGTTCATATCTCTCTGGTCTATCTGTTCAGTCTCTCAGCTGTTCATATCTATCTGTCTATCTATCTATCTATCTATCTCAGTCTGTTCATTATCTCTATCTGTCTTATCTATCTCTGTTCATCTTCATCTATCTATATCTCAGCCTCTGTCTCTCTGTCTAGCTATCTCTGTTCATCTTCATATCTCAGTCCATTCATATCTGTCATCTATCTATCTATCAGTCTCATTCATATCTCATCTATCTATCTCTCTGTCTATTCATCTCTATCTATCTCAGCTTGTTCATATCATGTCTATCTATCTATCTATCTCAGTCTGTTCATTCTCTCTCTGTCTCTCTGTCTATCTATCTATCTATCTCAGTCCATTCATATCTGTCTATCTATCTATCTATCTATCTATCAGTCTGTTCATTATCTGCCTATCTCTCTCTCTCTCTATCTAGCTATCTCAGCCTGTTCATGTATCTGTCTATCTATCTATCTATCTATCTCAGTGCTCATTATCTGCCTGTCTCTCTGTCTATCTATCTATCTCTTTTTGTCAGTCTATTCTATCTATCTATCTGTTCTATCTATCTATTATCTATCTATCTCAGTCCATTATCTGCCTATCTCTCTCTGTCTCTATCTATCTTTCTCAGCCTGTTCATATCTATCTATCCTATCTATCTCCAGTCTATCTCTGCCTATCTATCTCTGTCTCTTCATAGCTATCTCAGCCTGTTCCTCTATCTCATATCTATATATCTATCTCAGTCTGTTCATCTATCTCTCTTTTGTCTATCTATCTATCTATCTCAGTCTGTTCATATTATCATATCTGTCACTATCTATCTGTCTATCTATCTCATCTATTCTGTATCTCAGTCTATCTATCTATATCTCAGTCTGTTCATTATCTGCCTATCTCTCTGCTCTATCTCTATCTCTGTTCATATCTATCTATCTATCTATCTATCTATCTATCTCAGTCTGTTCATTATCTACTGTCTCTCTTGTCTCTATCTATCTATCTATCTCAGTCCATTCATATCTATCTATCTATCTATCTATCTATCTTCAGTCTGTTCATTATCTGCCTATCTCTCTGTCTCTCTATCTATCTATCTCATCTATCAGCCTATTCATATCTATCTATCTATCTATCTATCTATCTCCATCTATCTGTCTCTCTATGTCTAGCTATCTATCTCAGCCTGTTCCTTATCTATCTATCTATCTATCTATCTCATCTATTCATATCTCTCTCTGTCTCTATCTATCTATCTCATCCTGTTCTTTCTATCTATCTATCTATCAGTCTGTTCATATCTATCTATCTATCTATCTATCTCAGCTATTCATCTATCTGCCTATCTCTATCTATCTATCTCAGCCTGTTCATATCTATCTATCTATCTATCTATCTATCTATCTATCTATCTATCTAGTCTATCTCATCTGTTCATTATCTGCCTATCTCTCTTTCTATCTATCTATCTCAGTCTATTCATATCTGTCTATCTGTCTATCTATCTCAGTTCATTATCTCATATCTCTCTCTCTCTCTGTCTATCTATCTATCTGTTCATCTCATATCTGTCTCTCTCTATCTATCTATCTATCTATCTCTCCAGTCTGTTCATTATCTGCCTATCTCTCTCTGTCTATATATCTATCTATCTCCAGTCCATTCTATCTATCTATCTATCTCAGTCTGTTCATTATCTGCCTATCTCTCTCTGTCTCTATCTATCTATCTCAGCCTGTTCATATCTATCTATCTATCTATCTATCTATCTATCTATCTATCTCAGTCTGTTCATTATCTGCCTATCTCTCTCTGTCTCTATCTATCTATCTATCTCAGCCTGTTCATATCTATCTATATCTATCTATCTATCTATCTATCTATCTATCTCAGTCTGTTCATTATCTGCCTATCTCTCTCTGTCTCTATCTATCTCTCCCAGTCCTATCTATCTATCTATCTATCTATCTATCTCTATCTCTGTCTTATCTGCCTATCTCTCTCTGTCTCTATCTATCATCTATCTATCTCAGTCATATCTATCTGTCTATCTATCTATCTATCTATCTATCCTGGCTATCTCTCAGTCTGTTCATTATCTGCCTCTCTCTCTCTCTATCTATCTATCTATCTATCTCAGCCTGTTCATATCTATCTATCTATCTATCTATCTACCTCAGTCTGTTCATTATCTACCTACTTGTCTAGCTATCTCAGTCTATCTATCTGTCTCTCAGTCTGTTCATCTATCTATCTATCATCTATCTCTCTGTCTGTTTCATTGTCTGCCTATCTCTCTCTGCTCTATCTATCTGGCTATCTATCTCAGCCTGTTCATATCTATCTATCTATCTATCTATCTCAGTCTGTTCATCTCAGTTTTGTCTCTAGCTATCTCTATCTATTCATATCTGTCATCTATCTATCTATCTATCAGTACATTCATATCTGTCTATCTATCTAGCTATCTCAGCCTGTTCATCTCTGTCTATTCATCTATCTATCTCTATCTGTCTATCTATCTATCTCAGCCTGTTCATTATCTGCTATCTCATCTGTCTCTATCTATCTATCTATCTCAGTCTGTTCATATCTATCTATCTGTCTATCTATCTATCTATCTCTATCCATTCATCTATCTCAGTCTGTTCATTATCTGCCTTCTCTCTGTCTCTATCTATCTATCTATCTCAGCCTGTTCTATCTATCTCAGCTGTTCATCCTGTCTATCTATCTATCTATCTATCTCAGTCTGTTCATTATCTCTGTCTCTCTCTGTCTCTATCTATCTATCTATCTCAGTCTGTTCATATCTATCTATCTGTCTAGCTATCTCAGTCTGTTCATCTCATATCTGTCACTATCTCAGTCTAGCATTCTCTGTACTATTCATCTGTTCATCTATCCTGTCTGGCTAGCTATCTCATTCCTGTTCATGTCTGTCTATCTATCTATCTATCTATCTCAGCTGTTCATTATCTGCCTATCTTCTGTCTCTCTCTCTCTATCTATCTCATCTATCAGTATCTGTTCTATCTATCTATCTTTTGTCTAGCTATCTCAGTCTATTCATTATCTGCCTATCTCTCTCTGTCTCTATCTCTCTACATTCTCATCTGTTCATATCTGGCTATCTATCTCAGCTATCTATCTATCTATCTCAGTCTTTATCATATCTCTCTCTGTCTCTATGTCTAGCTATCTCAGTCTGTTCATCTCTCTTTGTCTAGCTATCTCAGTCTGTTCATATCTGTCTATTTATCTGTCTAGCTTTCTCTGTACCTTCATATCTGTCTCTCTATCTATCTATCTATCTATCTCATTCATGTCTGTCTCTCTATCTAGCTATCTCAGCCTGTTCATATCTAGTCTCTATGTCTCTCTGTCAGTCTGTCTCATCTCTCTTTTGTCTAGCTATCTAGTCCATTCATATCTGTCACTCTGTCAGCTTTCTCTCTGTACATTCTCTGTCTCTCTGGCTATCTATCTCAGCCTGTTCATGTCTGTCTCTCTGGCTAGCTATCTCAGCCTGTTCATTATCAATCTATGTCTAGCTATCTCAGTCTGTTCATCTGTCTTTTGTTCTAGCTATCTCATCCATTCTATCTAACTCATTTCAGTCTCTGTTACATTCTATCTGTCTCTATCTAGCTATCTCAGCCTGTTCTGTCTGTCTATCTGGCTAGCTATCTCATCTGTTCATATCAGTCTCTGTCTGCCTATCTCTCTCTGTTCATCTATCTTCTCAGCCTAGCTATCTCAGTCTATTCTATCTGTCTATCTATCTATCTTTCTCTCTGTACATTCTATATCTATCTGCCTATCTCCTGTTCTCTATCTATCTATCTCTATCTCAGTCCTCAGTCTGTCTATCTATCTATCTATCTATCTATCATCTATCTATCTCAGTCTGTTCTATCTATCTTTCTCTCCTGTCTAGCTCTTTCTGTCTATCTATCTCTGTCTGTTCTATCTATCTATCTATTCTATCTCTCTATTTATCTATCTATCTATCTCCCATCTGTTTCATTATCTGTTCTATCTCTCTCTCTCTCTATCTATCTATCTCTCTGTTTCATACTATTCATATCTATCTCTCTATCTATCTATCTATCTATCTATCTATCTCAGCCTGTTCATTCATCTGCCTATCTCTCTCTGTCTCTATCTTTTGTCTATCTATCTCAGCCCATTCATATCTATCTATCTAGCTATCTCTCTGTACATTCTATCTGTCTCTCTCTTTGTATCTGCCTATCTATCTGTCTCTCCCTATCTATCTATCTATCTCAGTCTATTCTCATCTGTCATCTATCTTTGTCTATCTATCTCAGTCCATTCATTTAATCATCTGTCTGGCTCTCTCTGTCTCTTCATCTATCTATCTATCTCATGTTCATATCTGTCTATCTATCCTATCTCAGCCTGTTCAGTCTGTTCTTATCTGCTATCTATCTCAGTCTTTAATTCATCTATCTGTCTATCTATCTCATCTGTTCTATCTAGTCTATTTCTCATCTTCATTCTGTTTCTGTCTCTCAGCTGTATCTCTGTCCATCTCATCTATCTATCATCTATCTCAATGTCTCAGCCTGTTCTCTCTATCTCTCTATCTCTCTCATGTCTCTATCTGTCTGTCTCTCTCTCTCTGTTCATAGCTATCTCATCTCATATCCTGTTCATGTCTGTCTCTCTATCTATCTATCTCAGCCTGTTCATTCAGCTATCTCAGTCTGTCTCTATCTTTCTTTTTCTCAGTCCATTCTATCTATCTAGTCCATTCATATCATGTCAGTCTGTCTCATTATCTCAGCCTGTTCATCTCTGTCTCTCTGGCTAGCTATCTCAGCCTGTTCATATCTGTCTCTCTGGCTAGCTATCTCAGTCTGTTCATCTCTCTTTTTAGTCTAGCTTATCTCTCTCCATTCATGTCTCTGTCTGTCTTTCTCTCTGGCTATTCTATCTACCTCTCAGCCTGTTCATATCTTCATGTCTGTCTCTGTCTATCTATCTATCTCAGCCTGTTCATATCAGTCTCTATTCAGCTATCTCAGTCTGTTCATCTGTCTTTTTGTCTATCTATCTCAGTCCATTCATATCTGTCACTCTGTCTATCTATCTATCTATCTGTCTATCTGTCTATCTATCTCAGTCTGTTCATATCTGTCCCTATCTCTCTCTGTCTCTATCTATTTTTCTCTCTATCTCAGCCCATTCATATCTGTCTCCTCTGTTCTATCTATCTATCTATCTCAGCCTGTTCATCCCTGTCTGTGTCTAGCTTGTTCATCTCTCTATCTGTTCATCTGTGTCTATCTATCTATCTATCAGCCTGTTCATATCTCTCTCTATCTATCTATCTCTGTTCTATCTGTCTAGCTATCTCAGTCTGTTCATTATCTGTCCTATCTCTCTCTGTCTCTATCTATCTATCTAGCCTGTTCATATCTGTCTGTCTATCTTCATATGTTCTATGTCTATCTATCTCAGTCTCTCTCTGTCTCTTTCTATCTATCTCAGTCCATTCATATCTATCTATCTGTCTAGCTATCTCAGTCTGTTCATTATCTCTCTCTTCTCTGTCTCTCTCTATCTATCTATCTATCTCAGCCTGTTCATATCATCTCTATCTATCTATCTATCTGTCTATTGTCTAGCTATCTCAGTCTGTTCATTATCTCTGCTTTCTCTCTCATCTGTCTCTAGCTATCTCAGTCCTGTTTCATCTATCTATCTATCTCTATCTATCTATCTATCTATCTATCTATCTCAGTCCATCCATTCATCTATCTCTATCTCACTCTGTTCATATCTATCTCTCTATGTACATTCATATCTGTCTCTCTGCCTATCTCTCTGTTCATCATCTCTGTGTCTATCTCAGTCTGTTCATGTCTTTTTATCTATCTATCTCAGTCTGTTCTATCTGTCTAGCTATCTCAGTCTGTTCATTATCTTTGGCTAGCTATCTCTCCTGTGTGTCTATCTCTCTATCTATCAGCCTGTTCATCTCTATCTATGTCTATCTATCTCAGTCTGTCATCTCTCTTTTGTCTATCTATCTCAGTCCATTCATATCTGTCATCTGTCTATCTCTCTCTGTCTCTATCTGTCTCTATGTCTAGCTATCTCAGCCTATTCATATCTGTCTCTCTGGCTAGCTATCTCAGCCTGTTCATTATCTCTCTCTGTCTCTCTCTATCTCCAGTCTCTTCATCTCTCTTTTCATAGCTATCTCAGTCTATCTATCTATCTATCTATCTATCTTTCTGTCTGTTTCATATCTCTCTCTGTCTATTATCTCAGCCTGTTCATATCTGTCTCTCTATATCTGTATCTCAGCCTGTTCATATCTAGTCTCTAGTCTGTTCATCATCTCTCTTTGTCTCTAGCTATCTCAGTCCATTCATATCTGTCACTATCTAGCTTTCTATCTGTCTATCTATCTGTCTCTCTATCTAGCTATCTCAGCCTGTTCATTATCTGTATCTCTCTCTCTGGCTATCTATCTATCTCAGCCTGTTCATATCTATCTCTCTGTCTAGCTATCTCAGTCTGTTCAGTCTGTCTTTTGTCTAGCTATCTCAGTCCATTCATTTTCTGTCTATCTCTGTCTAGCTTATCTGTCTCTCTGTACATTCATATCTGTCTCTCTGGCTAGCTATCTCAGACTGTTCATGTCTGTCTCTCTCAGCCTGTCTAGCTATCTCTCAGCCTGTTCATCTCTCTTTTTGTCTCTCTATGTCTAGCTATCTCAGTCTGTTCATCTGTACATTTGTCTAGCTATCTCAGTCCATTCATATCTGTCACTCTGTCTAGCTTTCTGTCTCTGTACATTCATATCTCAGTCTCTTCATCTAGCTATCTATCTACTCAGTTCATGTCTGTCTCTCTGGCTAGCTATCTCAGCCTGTTCATATCAGTCTCTATGTCTAGCTATCTCAGTCTGTTCATCTCAGCTTTTTATCTATCTATCTCAGTCCATTCATATCTGTCATCTGTCTAGCTATATCTATCTGTCACATTCATATCTGTCTCTCTGGCTAGCTATCTCAGCCTGTTCATGTCTGTCTCTCTGGCTAGCTATCTCAGCCTGTTCATATCAGTCTCTATGTCTAGCTATCTCAGTCTGTTCATCTCTCTTTTGTCTAGCTATCTCAGTCCATTCATATCTGTCACTCTGTCTAGCTTTCTCTCTGTACATTCATATCTGTCTCTCTGGCTAGCTATCTCCCAGCCTGTTCATGTCTGTCTCTATCTATCTATCTATCTCAGCCTGTTCATATCCAGTCTCTCTGTCTAGCTATCTCAGTCTGTTCATCTCTCTTTTTGTCTAGCTATCTCAGTCCATTCATATCTCTGTCATCTGTCTATCTTTCTCTCTGTACATTCATATCTGTCTCTGTACATTCAGCCTGTTCATGTCTGTCTCTCTGGCTAGCTATCTCAGCCTGTTCATATCAGTCCATGTCTCAGTCTGTTCATCTCTCTTTTTCTCTATCTATAGTCCATTCATATCTGTCTATCTCAGCTTTCTCTGTTCATATCATATCTATATATGTCTCTATGTCTAGCTATCTCAGTCTGTTCATCTGTCTCTTGTCTAGCTTATCTCAGTCCATTCATATCTGTCTGTTCTCATATATCTGTCTAGCTGTTCTTAGTCTCTGTATCTCCAGTCCTGTTCATCTCTCTTTTGTCTCTCTCTGTCCTTCATATCTATCTCTGTCTATCTCAGCCTGTTCATGTCTGTCTCTCTGGCTTAGCTATCTCAGCCTGTTCATATCAGTCTCTATGTTAGCTATCTCAGTCTGTTCATCTCTCTTTTTGTCTAGCTATCTCAGTCCATTCATATCTGTCACTCTGTCTTTCTCTGCAATATTCATTTCTCTGTACATTCATATGTTCATCTCTCTCTGGCTAGCTATCTCAGCCTGTTCATATCTGTCTCTCTGTCTAGCTATCTCAGCCTGTTCATATCAGTCTCTATGTCTAGCTATCTCAGTCTGTTCATCTCTCTTTTGTCTAGCTATCTCAGTCCATTCATATCTGTCACTCTGTCTAGCTTTCTCTCTGTACATTCATATCTTTTGTCTATCTCAGTATATATATCTCTGTCAGCCTGTTCATGTCTGTCTCTCTGGCTAGCTATCTCAGCCTGTTCATATCTCAACCCTCTCTATGTCTAGCTATCTCAGTCTGTTCATCTCTCTTTTTGTCTAGCTATCTCAGTCCATTCATATCTGTCACTCTGTCTAGCTTTCTCTCTGGTACATTCATATCTGTCTCTCTGGCTAGCTATCTCAGCCTGTTCATGTCTGTCTCTCTGGCTAGCTATCTCAGCCTGTTCATATCAGTCTCTATGTCTAGCTATCTCAGTCTGTTCATCTGTCTTTTTTGTCTAGCTATCTCAGTCCATTCATATCTGTCACTCTGTCTAGCTTTCTCTGTACATTCATATCTGTCCCTCTGGCTATCTCATCTCATGTCTGTTGTCTGGCTAGCATCTCAGCTGTTCTATCTGTCTCTAGCTATCTCAGCCTGTTCATATCAGTCTCTATGTCTAGCTATCTCAGTCTGTTCATCAGTCTCTTTTGTCTAGCTATCTCAGTCCATCTCAGTCCATTCATATCTGTCACTCTGTCTAGCTTTCTCTCTGTACATTCATATCTGTCTCTCTGGCTAGCTATCTCAGCCTGTTCATGTCTGTCTCTCTGGCTAGCTATCTCAGCCTGTTCATCAGTCTCTATGTCTAGCTATCTCAGTCTGTTCATCTCTCTTTTGTCTAGCTATCTCAGTCCATTCATATCTGTCACTCTGTCTTTCTTTCTCTTCTGTCATTCATATCTGTTCATGTCTGTCTCTCTGGCTAGCTATCTGTTCAGCTCTGTTCATATCTCAGTCTCATCTCTCTTTTGTCTAGCTATCTCAGCCTGTTGTCATATCAGTTTCTCTCCATATGTTCAGTCTCTCAGCTATCAGCCTGTTCATCAGTCTGTTCATCTCTCTTTTGTCTAGCTATCTCAGTCCATTCATATCTGTCACTCTGTCTAGCTTTCTCTGTACATTCATATCTGTCTCTCTGGCTAGCCTGTTCATGTCTCTGTCTCTGGCTAGCTATCTCAGCCTGTTCATATCAGTCTCTATGTCTAGCTATCTCAGTCTGTTCATCTGTCTTTTGTCTAGCTATCTCAGTCCATTCATATCTGTCACTCTGTCTAGCTTTCTTAGTCTGTTCATTCATCTTTTTGTCTCTCTGGCTAGCTATCTCAGACTGTTCATGTCTGTCTCTCTGGCTAGCATCTCAGCCTGTTCATATCAGTCTCTATGTCTAGCTATCTCAGTCTGTTCATCTCTCTTTTTGTCTAGCTATCTCAGTCCATTCATATTGTCATGTGTCTAGCTTTCTCTCTGTACATTCATGTCTGTCTCTCTGGCTAGCTATCTCAGCCTGTTCATATCTGTCTCTATGTCTAGCTATCTCAGTCTGTTCATCTCTCTTTTGTCTAGCTATCTCAGTCCATTCTCTGTCCTCTCGTCTAGCTGTCACTCTCTAGCTTTCTCTCTGTACATTCACATCTCTCTCTGGCTAGCTATCTCAGCCTGTTCATGTCTGTCTCTCTGGCTAGCTATCTCAGCCTGTTCATATCCCAGTCTCTATGTCTAGCTATCTCAGTCTGTTCATCTGTCTTTTGTCTAGCTATCTCAGTCCATTCATATCTGTCACTCTGTCTAGCTTTCTCTCTGTACATTCATATCTGTCTCTCTGGCTGGCTAGCTATCTCAGCCTGTTCATGTCTGTCTCTCTGGCCTAGCTATCTCAGCCTGTTCATATCAGTCTCTATGTCTAGCTATCTCAGTCTGTTCATCTCTCTTTTTTGTCTAGCTATCTCAGTCCATTCATATCTGTCACTCTGTCTAGCTTTCTCTCTGTACATTCATATCTGTCTCTCTGGCTATCTATCCTGTCAGACTGTTCTCTGTCTGTCTCTCTGGCTAGCTATCTCAGCCTGTTCATATCAGTCTCTATGTCTAGCTATCTCAGTCTGTTCATCTCTCTTTTTTTGTCTAGCTATCTCAGTCCATTCATATCTGTCACTCTGTCTAGCTTTCTCTCTGTACATTCATATCTGTCTCTCTGGCTAGCTATCTCAGCCTGTTCATGTCTGTCTCTCTGGCTAGCTATCTCAGCCTGTTCATATCAGTCTCTATGTCTAGCTATCTCAGTCTGTTCATCTCTCTTTTGTCTAGCTATCTCAGTCCATTCATATCTGTCACTCTGTCTAGCTTTCTCTCTGTACATTCATATCTGTCTCTCTGGCTAGCTATCTCAGACTGTTCATGTCTGTCTCTCTGGCTAGCTATCTCAGCCTGTTCATATCAGTCTCTATGTCTAGCTATCTCAGTCTGTTCATCTCTTTTTGTCTAGCTATCTCAGTCCATTCATATCTGTCACTCTGTCTAGCTTTTTCTCTGTACATTCTGTCTCTCTGTCTAGCTATCTCAGACTGTTCATGTCTGTCTCTCTGGCCTGTCTCAGCCTGTTCATATCAGTCTCTATGTCTAGCTATCTCAGTCTGTTCATCTCTTTTGTCTAGCTATCTCAGTCCATTCATATCTGTCACTCTGTCTAGCTTTCTCTCTACATTCATATCTGTCTCTCTGGCTAGCTATCTCAGCCTGTTCATGTCTGTCTCTCTGGCTAGCTATCTCAGCCTGTTCATATCAGTCTCTATGTCTAGCTATCTCAGTCTGTTCATCTCTCTTTTTGTCTAGCTATCTCAGTCCATTCATATCTGTCCATGTCTAGCTTTCTCTCTGTACATTCATATCTGTCTGTCTATCTCCAGACTTTCATATTTATCTATCTCTCAGCCTGTTCATATCATCTATGTCTCTCTGTCTCTTTTGTCTAGCTATCTCAGTCCATTCCTGTTCTAGCTTTCTCTCTGTACATTCATATCTGTCTCTCTGGCTAGCTATCTCAGCCTGTTCATATCAGTCTCTATGTCTAGCTATCTCAGTCATGTTCATCTGTCTTTTCATGTCTAGCTATCTCAGTCCATTCATATCTGTCTCTCTGTCTAGCTATTTCTGTCTCTGGCTAGCATTCATATCTGTCTCTCTATGTCTAGCTATCTCAGCCTGTTCATGTCTTTTGTCTCTATATCTCAGTCCATTCATATCTGTCATCTCAGCCTGTTCATTCATATCTGTCTCTCTGTCTAGCTATCTCAGCCTGTTCATGTCTGTCTCTCTGGCTAGCTATCTCAGCCTGTTCATATCAGTCTCTGTCTAGCTATCTCAGTCTGTTCATCTGTCTCTTTGTCTAGCTATCTCAGTCCATTCATATCTGTCTCTCTGTCTAGCTATCTCTCTGTACATTCATATCTGTCTCTCTGGCTAGCTATCTCAGCCTGTTCATGTCTGTCTCTCTGGCTATATCTGTCTCTCTGGCTCTCAGCCTGTTCATATCAGTCTCTCTATATCTAGCTATCTCAGTCTGTTCATCTCATCTCTTTTGTCTAGCTATCTCAGTCCATTTTCATATCTGTCACTCTGTCTAGCTTTCTCTCTGTACATTCATATCTGTCTCTCTGGCTAGCTATCTCAGCCTGTTCATGTCTGTCTCTCTTGGCTAGCTATCTCAGCCTGTTCATATCAGTCTCTATGTCAGCTATCTCAGTCTGTTCATCTCTTTTTTGTCTAGCTATCTCAGTCCATTCATATCTGTCACTCTGTCTAGCTTTCTCTCTGTACATTCATATCTGTCTCTCTGGCTAGCTATCTCAGCCTGTTCATGTCTGTCTCTCTGGCTAGCTATCTCAGCCTGTTCATATCAGTCTCTATGTCTAGCTATCTCAGTCTGTTCATCTCTCTTTTGTCTAGCTATCTCAGTCCATTCATATCTGTCACTCTGTCTAGCTTTCTCTCTGTACATTCATATCTGTCTCTCTGGCTAGCTATCTCAGCCTGTTCATGTCTGTCTCTCTGGCTAGCTATCTCAGCCTGTTCATATCAGTCTCTATGTCTAGCTATCTCAGTCTGTTCATCTCTCTTTTGTCTAGCTATCTCAGTCCATTCATATCTGTCACTCTGTCTAGCTTTCTCTCTGTACATTCATATCTGTCTCTCTGGCTAGCTATCTCAGCCTGTTCATGTCTGTCTCTCTGGCTAGCTATCTCAGCCTGTTCATATCAGTCTCTATGTCTAGCTATCTCAGTCTGTTCATCTCTTTTTTGTCTAGCTATCTCAGTCCATTCATATCTGTCACTCTGTCTAGCTTTCTCTGTACATTCATATCTGTCTCTCTGGCTAGCTATCTCAGACTGTTCATGTCTGTCTCTCTCTGGCTAGCTATCTCAGCCTGTTCATATCAGTCTCTATGTCTAGCTATCTCAGTCTGTTCATCTCTCTTTTGTCTAGCTATCTCAGTCCATTCATATCTGTCACTCTGTCTAGCTTTCTCTCTGTACATTCATATCTGTCTCTCTGGCTATATCTCAGACTGTTCATGTCTGTCTCTCTGCTTAGCTATCTCAGCCTGTTCATATCAGTCTCTATGTCTAGCTATCTCCAGTCTGTTCATCTCTCTTTTTGTCTAGCTATCTCAGTCCATTCATATCTGTCACTCTGTCTAGCTTTCTCTCTGTACATTCATATCTGTCTCTCTGGCTAGCTATCTCAGCCTGTTCATGTCTGTCTCTCTGGCTAGCTATCTCAGCCTGTTCATGTCTGTCTCTCTGGCTAGCTATCTCAGCCTGTT